ATAGAGCTGGAAAAGTGACTATGGAGTTCAGTACTGATCTTTCATGTGTTTATTATTTGATTTTTAACCCACCATACCTCTGGTCTGTTCAACTGCATCTTAGGACAGGAAATAGTAATTAAAATTATTTATTTATTTATTCAATTTCTTTCTCTTTTTTTTTTTTTGTTCTGCCCCACGCACTCTGCACACACTTACCATTGCAGCCTGTTTCTCCTTGCTGGCTCACTTCTGCGGCGTCCCCTGGTCTGCATTTTGTGAAATATAGGCTGGGGGATGCCACAAAAAAAGTGGGCCAGCTGGCCAGGTCTGTCGGTGCTGGAAGTGAGTGGAAAAGACACCCCCCCCCCCCAAAATAAGACCTGGTGTCTCTTTTGGAGGCAGTAAAAAAAATAAGTCCAGATCTTATTTTCGGGAAAACACGGAAGTAGCAAGCACTTTATAATATGATGCATTTTATGAATTAAAATATTTTACTATAGAAAGGTTTCTCCTTAGGTAAAGCACTCCCCCCTCCCGAAATTAACTCCTGGAGTTTTCTTGGCAATAATATGGAAATCATTTCCCATTGTCTTTTCTGGATTTATTTTTTTATTTCTAAATCTTATATATATCTGGGTATTTCATGGCAGTCCAAGTATCTGATCCTGTTTAGCTCTTTCAAAATCAGCCAAGGTTGACCAAGTGCTGCCACCTGGTGTGTTTTTTTCTTCATTATTGCCAGAATTTGCTTTGGTACAATTTTCATTCTTTGGGCTTCCCTCCGGAAAAAAATAGAGCAGTATAATGATGCTTGGGTTGCCATGTAACTAGAATTTTTGGATGATCTATTTCCTGTTCAGTTAGTACTGCTGCAGGATGTAGGGTCAGTTTATTTCTGCCACAAGCCTGAGATTGAAGTCCTGATAGAAGACAAAAAGATTTCTCCTGATGCCCAGATTTAAGAGATTAGAAAAGAAGTATGCTCAGTTACATTAGCTTACCCTGGGGGGCTGTAACATTACTTCTATGGTAGTTTGAATTAGGAAAACAAAACTACTGAGTCAGTAATATCTTCAAAGTAGCATAATGAATCAGATTGGGAGGTCTAGAGAAAGCCCAAGGGTGGGTGTGTAGAGCTAGACAGAGTAATGGTGTGTGAAATTCAGTGCCTAGGAATGCGTTTTATGTAGGCCATTGGAACACTCACTCTTAAGAAATTTGTCTGACTCTGTGGTGGTGTAAATTTGGATTAGCCTGGCAACAATTTAAAGCAACACTGTTAGATTAGATCACTCTCACTTTGTTCTGGTGTAATAATTTTTTTGTGAACTTAAATGGATATTCATACCTGATTAACCCAGAGATGGGTTAATCAGATTGAGCAACCTTTATGTATAGGTAGGAGAGAATGAGAACATCATTTTATGACACACATGGGCAATTTAAAGCCCTAAGACCAAATTTAGGGCCAAAGGCATCTCCGGGAGAGGCAAAGAAGTCAAGATGGTGGCAATATGATTGAAACTCTGCCACACAAGTGAAAAGAGGGAGATGCTTTGATCACACCGTCTCAATTGCTATCCTAACGTTTAGATATTCCAGCTTCTGGAGCATCTTTAGTTTGTACTGTTCTTCGCAGTTGCTAAAGTGGGTGGCACATTTTGAACTACACCTGTAGGGTAACCCTTCAGGCTTAATGTAGTTTTATTTTTAAATAAAAGGACAAAATAATTTTTCAACCCAGAGAAAAAGGGAAAACTCTGGCCTGCCTACTTTTTGTCATCACATCACTTCCTGTAGCTGGTTACTAAAGCTCGTGTCTCTTCTCTCTCTTGTTCTGTGTGTTTGATTCCAAGTAGTTCTACAAAAGCTATTATCACAAAAATTATTCCATTGACTGTAATAGGGATAGACAGAAACCAAGCTTACATTATGTGCTTTTAAATCTTTTCTTCACAAATCAAGGCAATTGGCAGCAATGACATACATAATGGTAAATCAGAATGTTTTTTTTTTTTAAAAAAATAATCTACAAGCACATAAAATAGTTCCCATTCAATTCTATTTCTGGGATTGATTATTTCACATAAATTCTACAAAGGATAGAAGTCCTTTTACAATGTGTATGTTGATTCTTATATCATTGCTTGTATTTTTATAATGTTACAAACACATATGGAAAGATACACAGAATTGTTTGGGAGGGGCATTACATTTGCAAGAGAATAAATAAAACAATCTAGCATCTTATAGAGTTTTATCTGTCACAAACAATACTGAATAGATTTCTTTTTTTTTCTTTGTAAGCTTTCTATCCTACCTTATTAAGTGTGGGGGCTCAGAGCAGTATACATAATGTTCCTTCCTGTTATTTTGTCCCACAAAAACAATCCCATGAGGTAGGTTGGATTGAGAGTGTGACTGGCCAGGATGAGCTTCTGTAACAGAGGGTGGACTAGATACAGGGGTAGTCAACCTTGGCTCTTTTATGACTTGTGGACTTCAATTCCCAGAATTCCTGAGCCAGCACAGCTGGCTCAGGAATTCTGGGAGTTGAAGTCCACGAGTCATAAAAGAGCCAAGGTTGACTACCCCTGGACTATAACCTGTGTCTCTTCGCCCCTACTCCAACTCCTTAACCATTCTACCACATTGGCTCTTATCCTGCATAGGTTAATGTTGTGGCCTGCACAGCTGCTGAATTTTTCACCATTTGTCTGCCTTCCTAAAACTTTGGCAGGAGTGAAATATAAAATATACAGTGGTCCTTAAAAGTTTGTGAATTGAATTTTCAGTGTATCTGCATAAGTATGACCTAAAATGTGATCTGTTCTCTACATAACCCAAAACTAGATAAAGAGAACTATAATTTCCCCTTCCAATGAACCTAGAGATTCACATACTTTTTTCCCATACAAATATATAGCTTTTGATTATTTTTCTCAATAAATATATGAACAAGTATGGTTTAAGCTTATTCTTTTAATACAGTTTTGTCAGAACAATGGCAACTGATTTAAAGGGGCTCAGTAAATAAAATACTTTTCTCTGATTCTTGTAAAGAAAATAAATTTGGTGTTGCTTTAGTCTCTTGGAGAGATAATTCAGAGATGGGGTAAGAACAGAATAACAAGATGCCTGAAATTTGAATAAAGTTAGTTTGAAAGTTAACGTACTTTTATATAGTTCTATGATTATATCTTGTGTGATTTGCTGATATTTGTACACGGTAGGAAGCATCAAGTTGACAGCCCTATTTGTATTTGTCAGATCTTTTTCCTTAAAGGGAAGAAAGAGAAAGAGAGCAAAAGAGTCCTGATGACCCCCATCTTTCTGTGAGCATATTTGTCTTGAAGGCTATTTTATAGTTTGATAGTAGTAGATAATGGAAAGGCTACAGTGATGGGAGACTGCGACTAAAATAGGTAAATATGTAAATAGAAGGGAAATGATGTAGCCACTTAAACTTGGAAACTTAGATCTGCATGTCCTGTCCATTATTCTTTCTGGGAAAGAGTAGAAACCCATGGTGGCAATAGCTAACCAAATGCTTTATAGGAGGCCCCTTCCTCTTGGCCTTATATTTTTCTGCTTCCACGTACATTATTTTGGATGCCGGTAGACAGAAAAATCCCTTTGGATAGACTGGTGAGGTGGGTTATAAATATTCTTTTAGCTATATTTTGTGCTCTAAATGGATTAGAAAAGGATGAGAAAACGTGTTGATGAAAAAAAAATGAAGGTCTGTTATCATATTCCAATTTTGACTTATTCCTGTATAATACTGCTTCCTTACACAAAATATAATTAATATAGGGTTAGTATACAAATAAACTCTCTCTCTCTCTCTCTCTACATATAAATATACACAGAGACAAACACAAAGTTACATATATGCATTATAGAATTAATGATACAAATACATTCATGAGAAAAATTATTCATTGCAGCCAGATAGATCCTTTCTGCTCATGGGTACTACAGCTTTTGAATTCTGAATGGCTCAGGAGCAAGAGATGATAGGTTTCTTTATACTTATTTGGTGGCTTTTCCCAAACATCTGATTGAATCCTTTGGGAACGGTTCTTAACTTACCTGTACTTGCCAGAAGTCTCCTGGCTAAAATCTTCACCCAGGAATGTCATAGCCATATTTGCTGTGACCTGAAAGTTATAGTTAATGGTAGTTATAGGTCCAATATTTCTAGATGGCATAAGTTGTGAAAATGTAAATTCCCAACATTTAGAAACTGCCCATCTCCCTCACAGATCCCCCTCTCTTTGGGGGACTTCTTTGATTATTAGATTTATTTTCCATCTTTTGTTCAGGAGCTTAAGGAAGTAATAGTGTTCCCTCCTCCCATTTTGCCCTATGCCAACAACCCAATGAGGTAGGTCTGGTGACTGAGAGTGTCTATCCCAAAATCACCCAGCAAACTTTCATGCTAAAGGTTGTCAGCCCAACTTCTTACGTCACACTGGTGTTTCTTAAGTTTTAAAAAATCCTTCTGTGAGGGAGATGGGCAGTTTCTAAATATGATTGATAAACAAACAAAGACATTGCAAAGTTGTATCTAATTGTATGAGTGTAGGATTATTGTTAAAAATGGCTTTTTCTTTCTTGTTTGTGATGATTTTAAGATTAATTTTTATATATCCATATTTCTTTGAAATATCTTACATTGCTGACTTCCTAGATACTGCATGATCCTAAATAATAAAAGTCACTTCTTATACAGTGCTTTATTTCAAATATAGAAACTCCTGCAACTCATCCTGTTTACATTGTCTTACTTAATTCTTCCCTCATTGACTTCTAACTTCTGACAGTGCTGTGGCTGAAGGCAATATTGTTTGAACAATTTCTTTAAAATAACTTTGAAAAACCCGCTGTAACAAAGTGGAGGGATAGCATGTCGCTGTAATTGTTTTGAAAAAGCATCTAACATATCTTGTCAATTAAAGTCAAAAGGTTCTTAGCAACAGCACATGCTAAGAACAACTTGTCTTGCTTCCCAGGTGGTGCAATGGCTCAACAGGTTCCTGTGCAAGCCATCCAGGTGCATCAAGCCCCCCAGCAAACGTCTCCTACAAGCGACAGCAGCACTGACATCACACAGACCTCTTCCAGTGGGACAGGTAGGCAACCAATTACCCCTAACTCTCACTTTGCAGTTTTGGGCCAGGAGCTCTCCAAGGTAGTCCACGAGAACTCAACTCCAAGAAGTTCAATGCAGGTAGTCCTTGGGTTATGATGGCAATTGGGACTGGAATTTCCATCACTAACCAATACAGCTATAAAGTGCAATGTGACTTAACCACATTGCTTAGCAACAGCAATCCTAGTTGTTGTTGTAACCCCAGGACTATGTGGCTCGTTAAGCAAAGATCTTACATGACTGCATTACTTAATGGTGCTGCAGTTGTAACCTCAGGATTATGCGGGTCGTTAAGCAAGGACCTTATGTAACCTGTGACATGGGAAGAAGTGGAAGTCCCAGTCAAGTGGCCAGTGAATGAGAGCTATGGTCAGGCAGCTATGTGGAGAGGAGCTATGGAGCATGGCCATTCAGAGCCTGATGGGCAAGTGAAAAAGTGGCAGGAGTAGGAAACACTTGCTGGAGTGACTGCTGGCTTCCTCATTGACTTTGTTTGGGGGAAGCCAGCAGGGAAAGTCACAAATGGCAACCACTTGACCACAGAACATACTGCAAGTATTGTAATTTTGAGTTGGTTGCCAAGCACCCAAACAGTGATAATGTGACTGTGGGGATGCTGCAGCAACTAAAGTTTAGAAGTCAGTTATCTTATTTAATGCCATTGTGTACCTTTGAATTATTGAACTGGAGGACTATGAGTAACAGTGGGGAGACGAAATTTAGAGACAAAACAAGCAAAGCCTCCACTAGACTAAGCACATGTATACAAATTTTTAAAAACTTTCTGTGCCATCACCCCATTGTCACAAAGTAAAATGAGTTGGATCAAAACTGCCCTCGTTTCAGTCACATTTGCTTAAGACAATATGTCATCAATGTTTCCTAATGCTTAGGAAAGAGGACCAGACTTCCTGTCTTTAGGGGCAAAAGGCAGATCTGTAATCAGTAAGTCAAAATTTCAGGATAGCAATTAAGTCCTAATATGGTTTGAAGATGGAATCCTTTGCTTGAGGCTGAAGAGCAGGTTATCCTGGTTATCATAGTTGATGCATTTCTTCAAATTTTATAATAATACAGTATTTTCTCCCTGCTCGCGATAGGGGAAGGTAGGGGTAGAGTGTGCTATTTAATCTTATTGTTCCTATAATAATAGGAATTTACTCTACATTAATTCTTGTCTTGGGCCAAAGTTTATTATTGTTCATGAGGTTATGATCTTTTATGTCACTAGTCCCTTGTCCAGTTAGCAGTGATAAGTCAGCAAAAAAAGTTAGCAAAAATATAATGAGAATACAGCTTTAGTGCCATCTAGTGAGACTAGTAAAATAGAGACTAGTAAAAAAAATTCTATTTTTTAAATGAAAATTATTTTACAAGGGTAAATAAACCAAAATCTATTGTGTGTCAAACCCGATTCCTGGGGGGCTTTATAGACGTGGTGTGTAGTTTTCACAGCAACAGCGTGGAGATGTGGTTCATTGTCTTCCAGGATGATATTTGGGTATTGATGTTTTAACTTTTCAGTGTAATCTATTGCTCTAGAGTAGGGATAGGCAACCTTGGCTCTTTTATGACTCGTGGACTTCAACTGCCAGAATTCCTGAGCCAGCATAGCTCAGGAGTTGAAGTCCACGAGTCATAAAAGAGCCAAGGTTGCCTACCACTGCCCTAGAGGTTTGGTCTCCCATCAAACATTAACCAGGTATAACCAAGATCAGACCATCCTGATTGCTTGGTGATGTTCCTGTATGATTGGCTTTTCTTAATCTGATACAGATTAAGAAAAGTATATGTTCTTATATGTTTTTTCTTATTCTGGTACAGATCACAAAGACTGAATTTGGTTTCCCCCCCAAAACTATTTTATTATACAGAATTAAAGTTCTGTTCCTTACTTCTAATCTTAATTGGTAGTGCTATTTTTTCTACATTAATTGTTTCTTAGGTTTTTAAAGTTTTTCTTATTTCCCAAGTCCTCAGTTCTTGTAGCCAGTCTTAGTCTTTTTGCATGTAAAACCTACTATAGAGTTGTGAATGCGGCTTTTCTCTCCCCCCAGCACTCACAGTTTTTTCCCCAAGGTTTGCTGTTTGTGTTGGGAATTTCTTTCCCCCCTTCTCTGCTGTCTTCCTGACTTGATTTCTTTTTTCACCATGCACATGTTTGACTTCTGGTCTGTTAATGGGTCAAACTCTCCAGTTAAGGAGGGTGTGTGGCTGTTCTAACCCTGATTCCAGAGCAGCATTAAATATACAATCCCCTATTGTATATTTTATACATTGATACTTTATTTTTAGAAACAATTTTCTATCCATGTCTAAAAATAATATGTTCTTTTTAACAATAATTTTTAGTTCTGCTAAAAAATAGCTTCCCACCCTTCCCCTCAAAAAAAGGAAAAGAGATCTGATCTTGGAATATGAAGGAACAGCCTGATTTTCAGACATACATCACATCTTTTCAGATATATTGAAGAACTGTAGAATCTGTCTTCTGTCATGCATTCGGAAGCCTTTGGACAATTTTATCTCCTGGCAGTAGGATTTAGACTGTGGTGAATGTACATGATAAATTTGTACTGGCTCAGAGATCTCCTAGAGTAGGTTTTACCCTGTAACTCTGCACACACCTGATAGAAGTATGAAGCGGTCCTGCTTCTGCAGGTAAGATAGTGAAAGCAAACAGATGTAGCATCCAGCTATTTCAGTTGTGTCTTTTCTTTTGTTTTGCCAGTGACCCTGCCAGCTACAATCATGACTTCATCTGTGCCAACCACTGTGGGAGGCCATATGATGTACCCCAGTTCTCATGCAGTGATGTATGCTCCTACATCGGGTCTCACGGATGGTGGGCTTGCGGTTCTCAATGCCTTTTCCCAGGCCCCATCAGCAATGCAGGTTTCACATGGGCAAGTCCAGGATCAGGGTAAGACTGGACCCAGATACGTTTGATTTTGAACATCCTACATTGCTTACTGCCCGTCTGACATCTCTTTCTCTAGCTATACATATACATAGCATAAAGCAACATTTGGTTCTCAACCATTAGAGTGCTTCCGGTTCAGAATGGGTACCTTACTGCATCTGTCAGAAACTCCTTAAGCGATCCATGCTTTTTCCTCAGCTGGCACAGTAGTCATATGAACTCGGGAAAATAGATGTTTGAGATGTATTACCTCTGTAATAGTCTTGGGGTTCAAAAGAATATTTTACTGAGCCTAGAAACAGACACTCTCTTCTCTATTTGAGGTAACAAATTTGCTAAAATGTGAGAATCAAAAGTAGAAACAAGGAAGGAAATCAAGAAAGAGGATCATTTTCAGTCAGCTTGCTAAAGTTTAATATAGATGAATAAGGGATGTGATCTGAGAATGGATTTACATGCAGATATGCTGTACATATAACTGCATATATGTATACATCATATCTGTGGTGGCTTTGAGTTTTAGGCAACAATTCAGGACAAGCATTTGATTGAGGCTTCTTTATCCTGTTTATGGTGATCACAATGGCTTCCTGCCCCAATTTTGGCAAAAACCCCAACTCTTGAGTTCCAAAAACAAATGCTGATCATTGCATAGGCTGCTGGGATATATATTATAAAGGAGGGATATGAATAAAAATGTTTCCTAAATCACTCCAGAGTCTATTTTCTTAGTGAGGTTTTTATGTGAAAGGAATTAGGCTCATATAGTGCATTAATACATGAATTATTTAAACTTCATATATTGAATTAATTCCAATTGGCTAGAGCTACCCAATATGCAACATTAGAAATCTTGCTTTACAAACTACAGTGGCTAGGTTCACATAACAGATTAAGTCTTTTTTTAAAAAGCCAAGTATCATATGGTATAGCATCATATGTGAATTCAGTTTATCTATTTTTTTTGTTCTGTAAAAACATAGTTTGCTCTATGAGTTATTTGGTTTTGATAGCAGTAGTTCATTTTTTAATTTCCTACTGTGATTATGCCTGCATAATCCAGAGTGATCAAGGCTAATTTTGGAGAATGATTAGTGTACATCTGTCACTTTCTCTGGCAGGTGGAGTCCCTCAGGTATTCCTGACAGCTCCGTCAGGAACAGTTCAGATCCCAGTCTCAGCTGTTCAGCTTCACCAGGTAGGTACAAAACAACCTTGTATTTTTCTTTTTCAACTTTTACCCTGAGGCTGCAGTCATTTTACTGAAAATAAGATACACTAGCAGGAGTAAGTATAGTATAAAATTAATTGTAATTGTGCTTGTAATTATTTTGTAGCATCTGATGTTTTTTTTACCTTAGTTGTTCAAGACACGAGGATTTCAAGCTTCATGTTCCACTTACAGAAGTGTTGTGAGCAGATGTTCAGTTTATTAACAGCAGCTCCAGTCAAATTTATACTGAACCTTCTGAGCTTGTATGACATGTGCTGCTCATTTAATATAGAAACCTGGCTTTTTGGCATCAGTAGTTTTATGTGTCATTGGCTTTTATTAATTGTGATATGTACAATGAGGTTTCATATGCCTTGAAATTCTGAAAGGTAGTTTTGAAATGTAAGTGAAGAAAGTAAGCTGTGATTACTTACTTGTGAGACCCAGGAGTAGAAGAATATTTGATGTTCGCCCATAAGACACTGTTCCTTTCATTGGTTCTTTTCTCTCTGCAGATGGCTGTCATTGGTCAGCAGAGCAGCAGCACTGCCAACTTGACAGAGCTGCAGGTGGTCAACTTGGAGACATCACATGGTTCCAAGAGTGACTGAGCAACTTTGGGAGGGACCTGGTGAGGGGAGGGGAAGAAGTGTGTACCCAGCACCCCAACATGAACCAGCAGATGCCACCGCCGCCACCTCCAGCTTTATGCTGCATCTGGCCCTGGATCTATGGCACTCCTCAAGCTGCACGAGGATCTCGGCAGTCCCTATTTTTGTATGGACTCCATCACTTATTTATTGTTGCCTTTGACACGTTTTCTTCTCACACTTTATACTGACACACACACCTCCACACACACAAAAGCACCCACAGAAGTACATAGATGCATATTAAAAGTGGCTGCAAGGCCAGCAGCAGGAAGCTGAGTCTGGGCTGTACGGGGACTTTGTTACACTGCATTTACTGTTCTTTTTGTTTATTGTTTGGTTTTCCTATTTGTTCCAGCCAAAGAAACTTTCTCTCACGAGTGGGAGAATTTGCTCTGCCATGTATAAAACTTTCCATCTGTTTTCATTGCCAGGGAGGGAACTTTTCTCTCTCTTTGCCTTGCTGCTTCTGATACATAAGAATGTCCTTGAATGTCCTTAGTTTGTAACCTCTAGACAGAGCAATTGAGGCTGTGGGAAGAAGCTGCAGTCCAGAAGACTGTGAAGCCATTCTGAAAAAGTTAAATCTCTTTTCAGGCATAGCCCTGATATCCTTTTACACACACAAACACACACACACACAGAGAGAGAGAGAGAGAGCTGGGACAGTCACCTCTTTCCCCTCCCCCATTCCAGTTCAGGTCACTTCCTGACTGCAGCTTTGTGCCTTCAAGCAATCCATGATGCATTGTGGGTTGGCTTGCCTTTATTCTTGGCTGGCAAAGAGAGGGTTCTTCCTGTTGGCATTCCAGCTGGAGCAACTGAGCATCTTGGATTTCCTTTTACCTTTAAAGTATCCCTCCCTTGGAATCTCTTTTTGTTGCATAGGAACTGACTTGGAGCAGCTTCTTGCCCATTTAGTCTGGCTGTAGTCACATCTTGCAGCCCAAACAAGAATTGTTTACCCATTTCCCTTTTTCCTTGGAAACACACTCAGCAACTCATAAGCCCATTAGCAGATTTCATTTTGTGTAATGCTTGAGTTTTGCTGATTTTTTTTCTTCCTGAGAAGGAAGAGCTACAGTCATGTTATAATTATTATTATTATTATTATTTTAATTTTGGAAGGTATAAAGAAGCCTTCCCCACTGGTGCTCTCCAAGATGTATTGGGTTCCAAACTCCATATCCACTAGCTTTTGGCAATGCTGGGAATTGTCGACTAAAAGATTGGAAAAGGTTGATGAAGGCTAGTGCTAAGCAATGAAGTTGGAAACAAATAAGGGTTGTTTAAGATAAAGTATTTAAACTTAACTCAGCAGGCTTTCCCAAGGCAACTGCATCCATGGATGAAATATAACTAGTTTGGGATACAATAGTGTAACATAGCCTATGACATTTGTTTGTTTCTCAGATAGCCCTGGAAATGAGATGGTATGTTGCGCCACCATCATGAAGTATGTTTGACCTGCATCTGCAAGGCCTTCAGTCTGGGAGTGGGTAGGTGGCATGGGGCAAGCTTAACCATAGAGCATTTGTGGTAAAGGTTCTTCCTATTTTTTGTGAAGCCACTGTTGTGTCCACAGTGAAAATTTTAGAATTTTTTTTAATGACACTTCAAACAGGAGGTTCTGGAATGAATAAATATTGTAACACATTTAAAGGAGGAAGCTGCAGGACTGCTAGTCTGTAATAGAGAATGGAAAGAGATGCAGAATAGAGAGAAAGGGCTGGATCATTTGTTTGCACACAATCATGCATGTCATTCAGCCCAGGACAGGTCAGTGGTTCTTATAAAACCCCCCTCCCAAAAAAGGCCAGCTTTGGATTAAGGAAGCTGCAAACTTTTACAGAAAGAAAGCAGCTATTGTAAGTCCTTCCTTTCTTTTTTTAATTAAAAGACAAAAGAAGCCTTGAAAAAAAAAGACTTTATTTTTCTAAGTGTTAAACTCAGTATTTATGTAATTCTTAAAGGAATTAAAGTCTGGCTCCTATACAGTTTTCATGGGGTTTGTAGTTGGGGGGGGGTGGGGAGATGGGCCATGGGGCAGGGTTGAAAAAAAATGAAAAGAAAGGGGCCTTTTTAATTTGTATTGTAATATTCTAAAATTGTTTCCATGAACATTAGCGTTTAAACATGTCTCTGTCTCTAGCACTTGAATCATGGCTTTGGTGGAAAAGTTGCACCAGTGGGGAGGAGACGGCTTATACTAGGTATCCCAAAAGTACTACCTGAAAACCACATGCAACTGCATCAGCATTCCCTTTATAGTGCCAGAGTGACACTCAGAATTGATGGAACCAAAGTGTTGGTCCATTTGTTTGTTCTTGGGGCAAAGTGGAGATCTTTAACCCTGTGGATGCTTAAGGTATCTATTTACCATCTTAAAAAACCTTGCATCCTTTTCTAAAACAAGGTATGCTCCTTCCACTTTGGGATGCAGAGATCAATACAGTATGCCACACAAATCCTGGGATGGCCATCAAGCCAAACTGAAGTTGTGTACTACTTTTCTTTTGTTTGCATCTTCAGCTCACATGGCCACATTATAAAAAGGTACCCAAGCTCCATCAAATCTGGCTTATATTTAATTCAAAGAAAACATTAGGGTAACTTGTTTAAAACTTTCCATGATGGGTTACATTTTAGAATATTTTTTTGTTTTTGTTTTACATGTCAGAAAACATTGAAAAGTGTTATTTCCCCAATTAGTTGCAGTTTGAAAGGATGTGGTTTATTCATTTCTTTTGCTTTAAATGTATATTGGTACTTCTCCAGCACTAGCTTCAATAATGAAGTTTCCAAGACTGGTGCAAAAGTATCCCCTTGTTTTAAGCCTCATTCCTTTCTTTTAGATAAAGTGCAGATTTTTTAACCTTTTTCATTAAATCAGTGACATGAGAAAGAAAGGCAGCCAAGGCAGCTGAATGATTACTCTCTGCCCTCTAGTCTAGAACAGATATACTTTATGGCAAAAAGATTGCTTGGTTACTTGTCTCCTTTCATTACCAGCAATAATGGAAAAATGATTTATATTCAGTGATGTCTATCCACTGATGAAAACATTTGCCAGCAATCTTCAGCAACCCCTGTTTTTCCCCCAATTCTGATATGGAGTTTGAAGGGTTTGCCACACAAATGGAACTTAGCTGTACATTGATAGCTGTTTTCTGTATGTGGATTGTTTTTTTCCTCCAAGAGGGAATTTCTCAGCTATTAATAGGAAGCTGCTTGGGATAAAGGCACATCTGAAAAACAGTAATTCTCGAATCATGTTACTAATTCAAAAATCTTCTGCTGAAATAGAGACGAAAGGCTAAAATCAAGATTTTTTTTTTTGATACTGACTCATTTTTTCTGATACTGTACTAATTTTCTGATTGGGGATTCTACACTTGATACTCATCCTTCACATCAAGGAAGTTCTCCCTCCTACAAAAAAAGCACCTGCAGGTTAAACGCTAATGTTGCATGTGATTAAAGTGTTGAATTGTAAGAACACTTATCAGGGATGAAATGGCATTTATTGTGTGGTGACATTTTTAGTTCACTTTACAGATTGTTTTTGGATTTTTTTTGTGTGCACGTGCGTGCGCATGTATGGGCGTGTGTGTGTGTGAGTGGCTGTGTGTGTGTGTGGTTTGTTAATTTCCAGGGTTGTGTTTCTGGAAGGATGTGACAGTAATCGCAGTACTATGTACAGAGCTTTCTTTTGTATTAAAAAATAATCTTTCAATAAATGTATCATTTTGTGCACAAACTTTGTGTCTTAAGTATTGCTTCTTTGACCAATAGCTGCCATGAGTCCTCTGGGAGTGTGCCAATGGAGAAATATGATAAATAAATAAAGATTGGGAACAAGTAACTGCTTGCAATTATCTGTGATGTTAACAGCATGCTAGTAAGAACAGAAATATTTCACAGTATAGGAGGAAAAGGAGATCGGTTGAGATCTAGGAGGGGGATTTTGCCTGGATCATGTTTAAAGTAGTGTGAGACAAGATGTGTAATCCATAGGGGATAGATAAAGTCTCCATGTCAAGTCTACTTTTGATAACTGCATGGATATACCTATGCCATTTTCTTGGCAAGAATGTAGAAGTGGTTCACTATTATCCTGGTATACTTTTCAGTCTCCAGCTTCCACAACCTTGGTATCAGCCCTTCGTGACAGATCAAGTCAAGAAACAGATACCTTAAAAACTCTACAATTCAACAGAATTGTAAAAGCTTTATAGCATCTCTTCTGGCCCTTCTTAAAGCAAATAAGAATCAAGGCAGGGTTATTCATGAGTTTCTTTGGCACTGCCTCTTCCTTTCCTGATCTGTTAATATTTCTTGCATTTCCTCAAGTTTAGCTATGCATTTTTCCACACCATCTCCCAGGTTAGATTCACTCTCTTCTTCTGCACATCAAAATGACACTGCCAAGTTGCTATGGGAACCAACTATAGACTTGCTCCCCTACCCACTCCTGCTTGCTTGATAGCATTTTCCCCCCTCCTGCCCCATTCCAGGTCATTAAAGAAAACTTGCTGCACAGACAGAAGTGGAAAATATTCCCTTCCCTATCATTTATAGTAGTGGCAGATTACAGGGCATGACCGTACGGGAGAATTTCAGAGGAAACCAATGTACCAAGATATGGAGTGTGGACATCTGGTACTTTCCCATGACCTTTTAAAGATTCAAGGTAGTGAATAAGATATTCAAAACATCTCCAGAATACATTCCACTTCATATTCTCTCCTGTCCATCAGAATGTGGGAAAAATAGGAACGGACAGTTGGAATACAAAGGCCATGGGGGCTGCTCATGAGCAAGAATTGTCTGATGGAAGACCAGATGAATCCACAGAAGCTGACAATGACAAAGGCCACTGAATTATTTTCCTAGGTAACAAAAGGAGTCAAAAGCTGGAGTCCAGTTTTTAGATGAATGAGTTGAAAATAAAAAATTAGTGGAAAGCCAACCAAATATCCCCCTCTTCCCTGCAATTTTGATATACTTGTTTGTGTGTGTCTGTCACCTACTTGTACGCAGACTTTGGCATATCTAACTGTTCTTGTAAGATAAGTGCCTGCCTCTTAGCATGAAGTCCAAGGTACAAAGAACAAATGCTGGTGTTCCAGAAGGCAAAATACAGGGGTGATTGCCAAAAGCTGCCTAAAAAGAGACGTGCCTATGGAGGAATGTACAATTATTATACCCAAATTCTGCAACAGGCAATAGTTAGCCCAATTGTTCTAATTAGAGATACAACTTGTCAAATACATACTGTTCTATATTTGATTCACCTCCATTTGCCCAAGTATTACTGGAAATCAATTAGTATAAAATATGTAACAGCATTTAGAAAATCTGGTAAAATTTTCCCGCTATCCTATTTATGCCAAAGAGAATGAAAGCAAATTTATTTTGAAGTTCATTTTTACTGTCTCTAACTCCCCCTTTTTAATCTAACCATTCTTGCATTCCTTCTTCAAGGTTAGCTCCTTACTCCTTTATCCTTGGAGCTTCCTTGGTGAGTTCCCATCAGTGTATTGTGTACTTGATGAGTTCCCATCTCCCATCTGGTATAGCTAGATACCATCACCTGCTATAACTATATCTCAGCTATATCATTTGTTATATACAACTATTTACAACTATATCACCTGGTATATCACAAATGAGAGGTATAAAGCAAAATTACATTGCTCCCCATTTTTTTTTTCATTTGGGGGACAGGCACAGATTTAGTGATTTGGTCATTTCTAGTGAAAGTAGATATAATTGAATCTGGCTGGTTACAGTTCGATTCTATTTAGGATATGTGAGATTTTGTTATGTAATTCACATTCAAATCTCTAAGGCATGGCTTGGTTGTCTGTGTTTTTTTGACTAAGCCACAATTAGTTTTACATGTTTATAAATTGTAAGGGCTGGATTGATTGATTAGTTTTTAATTGTGTGCTATCAAGTTGGTATTAACTCTTCGCAACCATGCATGTATAACCGGCCGTACTCAGCATATGGTCCTCAATGGAACTGCATCTACATGGAGGGAAGTGTGTAGTGGGGTGCCCCAGGGCTCTGTTCTAGGCCCACTGCTCTTCAACATTTTCATCAATGATTTGGACGAGGGGATAGATGGGGAACTCATCAAATTTGCGGACGACACCAAGCTGGCAGGAATAGCCAACACTACAGAAGACAGGCTTAAGATACAGGAAGACCTGGACAGACATGAACACTGGGCGCTATCTAACAAAATGAAATTCAATGGTGAAAAAAGTAAGGTTCTACATTTAGGCAAGAAAAACCAAATGTACGGGTATAGTATAGGGGGTACCTTGCTCGATAGTAGTAACTGTGAGAGGGATCTCGGAGTCCTAGTGGTCAATCACTTAAATATGAGCCAGCAGTGTGCTGCAGCTGCCAAAAAAGCCAACTCAGTGCTGGGCTGCATTAACAGAGGGATAGAATCAAGATCACGTGAAGTATTAATACCACTTTACAATGCCTTGGTAAGGCTACACTTGGAATACTGCATCCAGTTTTGGTCACCACGATGTAAAAAAGATGCTGAGACTCTAGAAAGAGTACAGAGAAGAGCAACAAAGATGTTTAGGGGACTGGAAGCTAAAACATATGAGGAACAGTTGCTGGAATTGGGTATGTCTAGTTTAACGAAGAGAAGGACAAAGGGGGACATGATAGCAGTGTTCCAATATCTCAGGGGCTGCCACAAAGAAGAGGGAGTCAAGCTATTCTCCAAAGCGCCTGAGGGCAGGACAAGAAGCAACGGATGGAAACTAATCAAGGAGAGAAGCAACCTAGAACTAAGGAGAAACTTCCTGACAGAACAATTAACCAATGCAACAACCTGCCTCCAGAAGCGGTGAATGCTCCAACACTGGAAGTTTTTAAGAAGAGACTGGACAGCCATCTGTTCGAAATGGTGTAGGGTTTCCTGCCTGAGCAGGGGGCTGGACTTGATGACCTCCAAGGTCCCTTCCATCATCATCACCATCATCATCATCATCATTATTATTAGTGTTCCACTGATACATCCATTATCACTGTAACTGAGGCCATCCACATAGGTGCAAGTTGTCCTCTTCTTTCCTTTCACTCACATTATGGACTTTTCAGGTAAGCTGGGTCTTCATATGATGTATTCAAAATATGCTAACTGATCATTTGTGCCTCAAGTGAGAACTCAGAATTGATTTGTTCTGTTATCCATTTGTTTTCTTGGCTAACTATGCGTTTTCAAGAGTCTTCTCCAATATCGAAATTCAAAAGTGTCATTATTTCTTTCCTGCTTCTTCAAAGTCCAACTTTTGCTTCCATAGTGTGTTATAGGAAAAACTGTTACCTGGACAAATCTTGATTTGTGTATCCTTTTCCAGGGCTTTCATTGTTATTCCATCAAGTGCTAGCTTGTGGTATATTTCTTGAAAATTGGTTCCTCTACTATTGATAGCAAATTCTAAAAGGCAGAAGCTACCCACTGCTTCAGTGAAGCTTGGTGATTGGTTTACAGCCATTGCTGTAGTTTACTAGGCAAGAACCCCATGATTCAGTCTTCACTGTCTAAACCTGCATAAGTAGGACACATCTTTCAACATAGTGTTCCTCAAAGATATTATGTCAAGCACCCACCAGTTTAACTTCTCGAGGCATTGGATATTAGTCACTAATTAATCATAACAGATGAAGAGATGATACTTAGGAATTCTTGATAACAGTATTTATTAGTAATTACTTTGGTACTTAGTAATTTCAATAACATCAGCAAGAAGTGCGGGCCCAATTGGAAAAAGAAAGTTCAGGACCGTATTGGTTGGAAACATACAGAAAGCCTTCATCCTGCAGTGGATAGACAATGGCTAAAATGATGATAAAGTTTGGTACATCCAAGACTATTGAGGCATAAAGCAAGGATAAAGGATACAGAAAACCAGAGAGCTTTTCATTTCCCTCTTATTTATAAAGGGCTCAACAGAATTATTCTTCTGTTGAGCCCTGACAATCCCATCTAATGCATTACAGCCGGGTAAAAGAAAGAGCATAGTAATAATAATAATAATAATAATAATAATAATAATAATAATAATAATAATAATAATAAAGACCTACAAATAGAAAGACTGTGGCAAAAGCAAGCAAGGGTAGTACCAATAGTAATAGGCTCCTTGGGTCCAATCCCAAAACAACTGGAGCACCACTTGGAACAACATTGGCATTGACAAATTCGCTATTAGTCAATTGCGGCCTTACTAGGAACCGCTTCCATCCTGCGACAATATCTGTAATACCATCAAACATCCACATCTGCCTATCCCAGGTCCTGGGTAAGGACTCGATAGGTAGACAAAATGCCAAATCCAGTCTGAACATCTGGCTGAATGTGCAACGATTAATAATAATAATAATAATAATAATAATAATAATAAAGTTGGAAGGGATCTTGGAGGTCATTTAGTTCTAGTCCAACCCCTATACCTCTTGTTCGTTATGTTTTCCACCTTCTTTGTAGTTTAGGAAACTGCTATAAAATAAACATTCCCATCTGTCACTTTATATGCATACTGGTTATTATATAGTTCAAAGTTTCCATATTTTATGAATATTCCAATTGTTATTCTGTATCAATATCGCATTTAATTGCAGTAATGGCATAAGTAATAAAAAAGCTACTGCAAACTGTCAACCACATAGCCTTTTTCAGCAGGACCTGCCGCGCACAGCAGCGGGCACGCTTCTTTCAGC